AACGTGATTGCTAGTTATGGTTCATGATTGACGATGTGTATGAGTTCAAGGTAAACATGCACAGTTGATCCATAATTTAAAAGAAAATCTTTTATGCATACAATAGCACCTGCGCGAATTTGAAAAAAAGTGCATTACCTGTATAAGATTAATTCACAGCGATATATTAGTATTTCTTTCGGAATGCACATCTAAGTTGACTATAGTATAATTTTATCACTTTTAAAATAAAAATTTAAGCAAATACATGTAACAATAAAAACATCTGTGTATTCTATAGAACCTTATTTCACTTAAATATGAAAATAAGATTCTAATCCTTTCAAACTTTAAGTAATTTCTATGTTACTGATTTCATCAACACACCGGCCAGAGCCAATGGGTATGCCCGATCATGTGTTCTGAGGACACTGTGATGTATACGAGTTAAAGGTAAAGATGCATAGTTGAGACATTTGTTTCACAAAATCACTTTAATGATTTTTTTCATAGAAGCAAACTTTTAAAGTGTGTCATAAGTTCCATATAGTAACATATCAATACAAATATTTTTGAATGCATGCACGGATGGGCATTAGGAATGCTTAAAATTGAAAGGTGACATTTTTAAACTCAATATGTGACTTTATCTTCACGTTACTTCCAAACACTTTAACCAGAAGGTATTTAATATTTTTATAATTTTAGATTAAAACCTTAGAAAATAACAATAATATCTGTCATATGTTGCGGTTCGGATCGGAGAATCCGTCCCGAGGTGACCCGCCCATTGGGCGGTAACGAGGCTTGCCAAGTTACCGCACATGGGCGGGTTACCGAGGGACGGATATTCCGATCCGAACCGCAAACATATGTCAGATATTTTTTCTTCCAAATTTTACGATATAACATTATATTTTTATTTATTTATTTTCATTTATCTTAATTTTCAATGGGAATTCATGCCATTACAACCGAAACTATTTTCGTACAACAGCGTATGAAATTACAACTTCATTCATAAAGGTAAAATTACGTCATCCTATCGTGACATTGTACAGCACGCGACTCATCTGGCACCCCCTATGCCAGATGAAATTTCCGGCATGGGTAATACTAACGGAAACGCCAGTCTGATATGCAAGAAAAGTGTGTCATATCAGCAACTTAAATGATCAAATAAATACACCTACGTAAAACATTTTAAGGAAACCTTTTAGGAAAAATAAATCTTATAATAACACATACTGTTCTTGGATAACTGAAACAATACGTAATCAGCTACCAATAACCAGAATACAAGAATACAAGGGATGATCCAGAAATACCCATAATTTAAACAATAAATTCAATAATATTTACTCAAAGTTCATATAACAAACACTTTATTACTGAGTATAATATCCTCTTTACAAGGAAACAAGAATATGATAATTAAACACAGTATGCCTACCATATAAGCAAACATAGAATTTGTCACATTATGCAAAAAAGGTTGATGTTCTATTGTTCTTATACATAGGGAATCCTCCCGATGCCATTCACTGTAAGTGTACTAACAACTTAAACCTATGACTATTGAACTGCTAATTGCTTTGATTGCTGTGATTCATACACATGATCATCTTAAAGTTGAAGGCATAAAATATATGATTCATTTTATTTAATTAGATAAAAAGTGCATGTAAAAGAAAACAAATAAAGTATGAAAAACAGCACATAATCGTCAATTAGAATTCATTTTTTTAAATCGCATTGAAATTGTGCAAGGCCGCATATGACAGCATATTTGAATTTTTCAATCGCCACAGCGACGGAGAACGTTAACTTCACGCGTATTCTTCGATGCCGCAAACAATATGTATTTATCTTTAAAATTACTCCAACAGTAGGTAAAAAACTTCTTTACCCCTCAAAAAATTTTGTATGCAGGACTAACAAAATACTTGTGTCGAATTTCTTTTATCATATTAGATGTCTCTATGGTAGGCTGTCTAAACAGTTGACAAATGTTTATGAAAGTGCCGTTTTCTGACGCCTTAAGACGTTTTTGCATAAATAAACGTTGCAATTACAAATGATTACACAATAATACAATGTTCAAACGACGTGAAATTTAAGCAGGCTTTACATTAACCTTCGGCAAATATTGGACATGATCCCTTTTTGTGTCGGGCACTTTGGTGTATTATAAATTTCAACGAACGACGTGTTCTTTGAGTTGTGCTGCTGTGGCGTATCCATGGTTATTTAAGGCGGCCTGAGACGGTACTGGATGTTATAATCAATTATATTTGGCAATTAAATAGAAGAAACATCGATCTTTGCGCATTTATAAATCTAATGAAGAAAACATAAAAAAGTTATCAGAATTATAAACAAATTTTGGGTAATTCTGGATCAACCTCCATATAATGTAAAAAACATATTTTATAAATCTTACACTATCAGTTATTGTTTTTTGTTTAATTTGTTTTTTTTCAAGATGAACTCCTGTCGGATTTGTTAACGGCTGTTTGATGATCATACAAAGACAGTTAAAGACAACGAAAAGGAATGCAAGGGAATAAATGCTGCCAGTGAGAAATAAAATGACAGTTTAAAAGTTGAATCGGAATAATATATTCACATTGTGTGTAGAAAGATGTACTGTAACCCACATTACACTAAAAGAGACACTAAGACAGAAAAAGTAAACACTGATGCCACCATTAACACCATTGAGATCAATGACTGATAAGTTTTCAATATATGTTTATATTGTGGTCAATCAAGTAAGGGTAAAACAAGGAAGTGTGATGTTTCGCCAGTAAGGACACTAGAACCTACTATATACAGAGGAATGACTGTTTGTCTGATACAGTGAGAGCAATGATAGAACAGGTTCACGATTTGCTTGTAGCCGATGCTATTTACCATCAAACATGTTTATGCTCCTCTAATTTCAGAACTGGAAAAGATATACCAGAATAATTTCAGGTGCTACCATCTAGTGGTAAAAAGTGAAAGATTGGTCGACCAGAAATTACAGAAGCGAGTGACGCTTTGTAAAAGTCATGACATTCTTGTGCTTATGCTTAGCGAAGATATTTTACAAATTAAAATTTGCAAATATTTTTTTTTTACATTTCATGCTCAAATGTATCAAATATTTGAAATTGACCTTCCAAAAGGTCAATGTCACCTCTTTTGACCCAATGTCATGATGTTATATAATGACTCAGAAAAAAATACAACAGATGTGCTTGAAAGTATTCAAGTTAATATAAAACTCAATATTATTATCATAGATAATATCAATTTCCTTAATGTTCCTTTATTTAAGTGTATAAAATTTCCCCACCCACTAGCTGTACAATGTTAATATAAATGTTTCAATATATGCATTAAATATTGATGGAATGTGAATTAAATTCATAAAACGTTGAAACTTGACAGTTTTCACATGTACGTAAACCATTATGTATTTTCTGTTTAATATCATATAACATAGAGCTTTCAATAAATTGTTGATCTACAGCAATGTAAAAATATAATATTACCCCACCCACTTAAGTTGATTAATAAATTTTAGAAAGGTAAAAGTAGTTTCTGTAAACAAAAACAACTTTTTGATTACTTTATAAAGCACGGGGGAGGAAGTGTTACACGAGGAATAAGTTCTTATGATAATTTGTCAAGGAGTTCTTGTGATAACTGTCACAGAGTTCGTCGGAAAACTATTGTATATACTGCTAAAACACTCGTCAAAATGGTAATTTTCATCTGTAAAAAGTGAGTTTTATATGCTAAATTAAACTCTGCCTTACATATTGTATTTATGTGTCAAAATTTATTCATAGTCCATTTTTCATCGCCTCTTGCTTAAAACCTGGAAGTTTTGTGTAGAATTTCCAAATTATTTGCCAATATGCAAGTATTGACCTGTTAATTTCAAGTCTTCATCTTTGCTATACATAATTACCTAATTATATTGCAAAATTGCAAACATAAAGCCCCGGCTAACAAATTTATACCCTATTTTTCAAATGTCCCTGAGTTCTTGTGATAACTCAAAATATGCCCTTGAGTTCTTATGATAACTTTTGTTACTGCCAATGTGTTTCTTGTGCTAAATCACGGCACGTTTTAGCATTTTTTATTATTCAATAAGGTTGTAAATCATTATGAAATTTAGTACGCTCATTTTTTGCACAAGAGTGAGGATATGTAATGTTGGTTTTGAGCGTATTTTAGTTAAAGAGATAGTACTGAGATATCATATCCCCGTTTCTTTTTTTATGGTATTTTTGCTGACGCAGATTTCGTAGACTGGAAAAAGGATTGTTGTAGAGCATTGGCTTTCATAATAAAATGCTGTCAAGTATGGTGTCTTCATGTATTTTTTTTTCTGCCGATGTTTGATTGGTATTTCCGTATGCATTTAACGTATGCAATCTTAGTGGAGGAAACTCTGCTAATTTTGCTGTAATAAATAATAAAAATATCTTTTAGTCAAACATATTTCGTTTGAACACGGAGGGACTTGCAAATTTGTTCAAGAGATCGGTAGTTATAGAGCCAACCGCAGTTGAGTTTTTATCATATTATCGTACTTTTTGGTAACATAGGTTTAAAGAAATTATCCTTGTTTTATACATGTTCTTGTTTATTATGGTATAAAATGAAACATATTACTTAGCCCTTAGAAAAGCGATGCACAACTATATATTATCTGCTTAAGAAAGATGGTTGAGAATAACGTGTAAGTTTTGAGATATTTTTGTTTTGTGGTTTAGGCCATGATACTGCCGCTGAATAAATCTTTACTGTAGATGATGGCCTATCACCTGTTTATCCTTTGCAGACACTCCAGACCAACATTTTCCACATTTGTGTGCAAAGGATGAGCGTATTATATTACATAAGTATTTACAACCTTATTGAATGATAACGATAAAACGTGTCGTGAGTTAGCACAAGAAACACATTTGCATTAACAAAAGTTATCACAAGAATTCCAGAACATATTTTGGGTTATCACAAGAACTCCGGGACATTTGAAAAATCGGGTATAAATTTGTTAGCCGGGGCCTTATGTTTGCAATTTTGTATTATCATTAGGTAATTATGTATGGCAATGATGAAGACTTGAAATAAACAGGTCAATACTTGCGAAATGGCAAATAATTTGACATTTTTCTTGAAAACTACAAGATTTTAAGCAAGAGGCGATGAAAAATGGACTATGAATTAGTTCTTGACACATGTGATACAATATGTAAGGCAAGCTTAATCATGAAAGTTTAATTAAGCACCTAAAACTCACTTTTTAAAGATGAAAATTACCATTTTCGACAAGTGTTTTTGCAGTATATACAATAGTTTTCCGACGAACTCTGTGACAGTTATCACAAGAACTCATTGACAAGTTATCATAAGAACTCCATCCCTCGTGTAACACTTCCTCCCATGTGTAAAGTAATATTTCATCTAGTTGTATAATCGCAATGAATGTGTAAATATCAAGCGAATATTAAAGATAAATAGCATGTCGATTATATTTCTCAAAAATACACTCCGCCTCTGGATGTTTTACCCTGATATGTACTACCGGAAGCTCGTATATTTCTTTTTTAAACGAAGTACAATTCGTCGATCCATATATAAGGCCGGTCCTCCTTGAATAAGCAGCAATACTGCGGGAAAAAATAATGGTGGCATATAGAAATCGTCCATGGTGCTGAAACTCAAACTGTTAATCAAACAAATGCAAAACTACGTTTTTACATGTGTTGTTTCACATTTTGTTTATTTTTTGTTTTGCTCTTTGAACATTCGTTTCAATTTTGCTCGTGAATCTTGATATCCGTTTGTCCTTAATTCGTGCACGTGTAAAGCAATCGTCTCGGAAATGCACACATTTTCTGTAATGATTTATATTCATTATCGAAAGAGGATCTTTAAATCTGAAAAATAAAAACCAAAAAGTCGTTATATAAACCTGTACGAAAGCCGGTGGTAACATTTCAATTTTATGACTTTCCGATTTCATCTCCGTGAAATCACAATGTTAACTTCGTGAATTCACATTTTCAACATACAGAATTCAAAAATTCACGATTTCAACTTCATGAAATTCACGACTTCACGATTTCAACTTCGTGAACCTAACGTATTTAACTTCACGAGTTCAAGATTTCATTTTCACGAAGTTGAAATCATTAATTCGTGAAGTTAAAATTGTGAAGTCGTGAGTTCTGTATGTTGAAATCGTGAATTCATGAAGTTAAAATTTCAAAAAGTTGAAATGTCATCAACGATCTTTCTTAAACCAGACACATGTATTGCCTCACCATTAGCGATTACGAACAGAGTGCCAAAGTGGAGCTCTATTTTGTGAATTGCACAATAAAAAGAAAAGCAAATGCGACATCAAAGAGTTCTTGTGGACAAAATCATGATATAAAGAATGACAACGGAATCTATTATTGCCGGGACAATATCATAAGCACAATAAAAGAGATAATTTATCGTGTGATGTGTCACCTTGGTCAGACAAATAAACATTCATTGTAAAAAAAAATACTTGTGTATTTTCCTTACATGTATTTTCTTAAAAACTTTATTGATATTGTTTGTAAGCGTACCCAACAAATGTTCATTAAATCTGTACAAAGGCACATTTTGCAAGAAAATAAGTACAACGTAAAATCTTCATATTAGCAGTATCTTCACTAATTAATTGTAAACTTATTAAAAAAATAAAGCGAATCTTAAAAAAAAACAGCAACATTAACAAACAAAACAAGAGTTGTCGGTAGGACAGCACGCTCGACTATTCCTAGCGCTTGATAGTAAAAGAGCCTTGATAATGTAAAATTTTCAAAGTTAAAACAGGGCCAAATTTTTCTTTCAGTCGATGTTACAGTTATATGTCTCGGGAAGAGTCAACAATTTCAACTTGTTTCAAAGCCAGATGTCAATGTAACATGAAAATATCTGAGGTGGTATGCGAACTTTAATGTTTATTCATAGTTGAAAAAGGACATAATTCTATCAAAATGCTTGATAGTTACCTCTTCCTGTTTACAGGTTGGGGTTACGATGGTGAACAAGTGTGCAAAGATGCAAAACCATATGTCAATGGACTTTGAAAATATTTGAGGTGTTACATAAGTGGTTACGCCGACACTCGAGTGACTAGTATAGCTCTACTTATTCTTATTGAATAGTCGAGATAAAAACATTATAAACTTGTCAATATAAAATAATGCGAATCTTATACTGTATCTGATCAATGTTATGAATTAGCAAATATAAATTGAGGTAAATCTTACAGTGTAAGGTCAGCTAGTTAATGTAAAATGATGCATATCCTACATGTCTTACATTGTATATGACGAATTGTGAGCTTTACATCCGTGAGTGACGACACTTCCTCTCTGAACTCTAGCTGGTATGTGTATAAGTTTTCTCTGATTTATGTCGACGGGAGCATTTGATATAGTTCTGTCCTCATACTTTGATATCACAAGTTTTCCGGCTTTATTTGTCGGCGGCCAGTCCAGTATAAACATTTCACCGTATACCTCAACAGCAGACATGTTTGGTAGAATGTACAAAAGCTTATTCTACAAAGATAGTTCAATATATAGAGGATATTGAATGAGTGTATGTTCAATGCACGAGTTGAATAAAATTATATTATGCGAGCCTCTGGCGAGCATAATATTACTTTAATCAACAAGTTCAATAAATTCAGTAATGAACTTACACGAATTTAATATTCTATTTATCACATACCCAAAATAAAGACCGTTTAAAGTGAAAAACGAGTCATTATTGACTCGCCTATAGTATAATGCTAACATTTAGCGCGTCTTTACACTATGTTTGTATAACGCTAATGACATGTCAAAATATATGCACGGCTGTGCAATGCCATTTTTAATCGGCACGGGTGTGTGATAAAATAACTTACCATATTCTTTACGTGATGAGCTCAGATAAAATTACGTCTAAAGTTATGTCTAAAGTTATGTCTAAGGTTATGTGTAAAGTTACATTTAACTTAAAGGTTATATCTAAGTTATGTCTTATGATATGTCTAATGTTATGTCAATTTTGTTATAAAATATTGTACATAAAAGTGTATTAATAATAATAATAATAATAATAATAATAATAATAATAATAAAAAAAATAACAATAATAATAATTAAGTTTATAACTAATTGAAGTGTAAAGACTTCAATGTAAATTTAAAAAAAAATATAATCTCATTAGATATCTCAATGGATGAAATCTTTTCCGATTAAGTAGTTTCGAAGTTTCGGCCAAAAATTAACACGTTTCCTTATGAGCCTACCCGAACTTAACGCCACCGTCTTCTATTTATATATATGTATACTCCATCCTTGGCAAATTTTCAAACATAATGCGCATTTAAATGCTTTCGTCATAATGGTCATAATAAGGCTGGAATAAACTTTAGCGAAAATATGATCGACTCCAATTTTACCGTTTTCCAAATATACGTATCAGATACTGATTAAATTGTGCAAAAAGTAACGCCGAATTTTAGCTATGGCCGAAACGACAACACGATAAGTAAGCATAAATCAAATTAAAAGACAGGCCTACGGTTGTTCTGATATTTGGCTGCTCTAATATCTTTCTTTATCCAGTATTACAAATATTTACAGGAATATGTTTACTTTTTAAAAACATTCGTGAGAATGACATCCATGGCGACTTTTGTTTAAAACTTTTTTCTTTGAAACTAGGTACACCTTAGACATTTGCCAAACTGCTAGTTTCACGTAATTGTTGTGCAGTCGAAAACCTGCGGAATTCTTTGGAAAAAAAATGAATAAAACTGCATGATATTTACTTTTAAAACATAAAGTTATAAATGTTATTCTTATCTACATGTATACTAAAAGGAAACTTGGAGGTAACCATCGTTGCTTCGGTGCATCATTCACTAAATAGGCATGTTAACGTCACATATTTATCAGTAATATGACACAAGAGGTTAGCTAAATGTCTTATGACATACATGTATACGTAATAGTATTGAAATATATCAAACAAACAAAAAAATCGACTTTAATACGTAAACCAGGTCTTCATTTTAGCGAGCTATATTTTGGAAATACTTTTAATGTCATCTCATTCTGATTAACCTACCATCATGGTCTCCAAATTTCTGTCCGTAACTGGTACGATAAACTCATCCAAGTCAATAACACCGACATATTGGTAACCACTCAGCCGACCTTGACAATCATGAACGACCAATTGTTCTATATTCCAAGCCTCTTTAGTCTTCATACCCGGTCTGTGTGTTTCTGGAAATTAATGGCACACAATACTTGAAATATTTTAATTTTTTTCTTTAGGTTTGTTTTAAAGTATACATATAGTGTCAAACATGAGAAGAAAATGCCTCATTTTACACAACCTAGTCATATTAACAATAAATATGATAAAAATATCATTAATAAATTTAGAGCAAATAATTTTATCAATTTCAAATACGAATCAAATAGGATTTTAATTTAATACACAAACACACTTTTTATGACATTTACATAATCTCTATGTGAAAAAAAATGAAATTTACAATTATTTATGGCTTATTAGCACACAACACAACATGACGAAAGCGATGCTGTGCGATAATTTGCCATTCTTCTAAATATGTACGGCGGAGTTGAGGTTCTTTGGCAGGTGGTTGAAGTACGAGTTCTCACGCGACAACCAAGCAAAAAAAAATGGGCTTTTGTCCGCCCAGTCATTTTCACGGGAGGGCTTTTGTCCGCCTTGTCATTTTTTGACGGGAGGGCTTTTGTCCGGGAGGGCTTTTGTCCTTCACGCACTTTACATAGTTCACCGAAATGTGCATCTGTTAGAAAGATATGTTGGTTTCCGGTAACGCACATGCTGGTCTACTCCCATTTGAGGACAACATTTTCAGGAAAATGAATGGTAAGTTTTACAATATTGAGTTATTTTTTGTTAAATATGAACTTTTATAGTAAAAAATCGAAATGCCAACCTTATATTATATTGTTCATTTATAGTTACTCAATCACGTATTATCATTTGATGCAGTCTTTTTTGAGAAATTTAAGTTGTCGTGGGTTTATGTGTGTCAAACCATGCAGAAAATGACTGAAAATAAGCTCAAAACAATACAATATCACACAATGTGGAACCGTCATGGTGCAAAAAATACACCCGTGAAAAGTGGTTTACTTCTACATAATCTACAAGATCTGCGCATCATGCAAAACGAGTTTTTTTATTTATTTATTTTTTTATTTATTTATCTTTTTCCAACCGTATAAGATATATTGCTTGAAATGATTTTTTCTCCGAGTCGAGATAAAATATGTGAACAACTAATCAATCATACACACGATTTCACAGGTTCCACTTGATGAAAATTGCTATAAAATATCATTTTAAATGAAACTCATACAGCTGATGTTTATGACATTGATTCAAAAGTTCTAGTGTTGGGCTTTAATTTTATTCGTATCAAATTACGGCATAATTTATAGTGACTTACTGAGTTTACCTCATTCGTTAAATTGAATTCATGTTTATTGTAATTTACCGGTTCAACACGTTTATTGTAATTTGGTTCAGTCAGATAACGAGAACGTGAAGAAAGCCAAACGTATTTTTGCTAAAAACTTATAGTATTTATAAGTATTTATATACATATTTATTTAAGGTTAATTACGATGATGCCGCTGTACATAGTCTGCGGTACGTTTTAATGTACACTACATGTATATAAATGTTATCATAACCGCTTAAAATTGTTGTTATAACAATAAAATAAAATCAGCTATAATAAAACAGAAAATAACGATATTTACAAATTTGTGCTTTATGTCATAAATTTAACAATAATTAATTTAGAATTGAATTATGAATGTCACATTTATCACAAATGACGGCACAAAGACCTGTTCAGCAACCAATCATATCGCTAGCCACAACAAAAGACAGCACTGCAAAAGTGGCCATACAGATAAAATATGCTGAATAAACGTGACTCTGGTGTAAGAAAATGTGTCATGGTTTCTTTTTCTAGGGTATAAAATGATCATTTTCATCATACTGAGTTTATTGAATAGTCTCACTGTCTGGTTATCAAATATATAAGAATTAGCAAAACTGAAACGTGATTTGGATGTAGAAATATGAAATTTAATCGATAATATATGCATATCTATTATCCATGATGTCAAATTTAGCCTTATTTATCATTCAACATTTCATTAGTTTGTCATAAATGAACGTGCAAGGTTAACGCCGCATTTCTTTAACCTTTTACCCCATGAGCATATTGCGAAAAATGGCCGTTTTCATTGAAAAGCCTCCTGTAACAAGTTCAAACTGCTATGAAACTATGAAAAATGCTTAAATACTGATGAACTGGGCACTAATGTTGTCTAGACCATAGCCTCTGTAACAGCATGCTCAATCGTAAATTTCCAGTTACCATTGCAACGGGGAAAGTCTGAAAATTGCCAAAAACAACTATTGTGCTTTGTTTTTTTCCATCAAAACTGATTTCAAAGTACTGCAACTTCTCAATGAATTGAGGTAGAGTAAAAGGCTTTTCAGCGTCGGTTACTAGTTACCCTAAGATCGACCTGAGGTCATTTTTAGCCTGTGACATGTCCAAAATTTTCTTAGCGATGAGGGGGACTGCCGCCCCCTTCAAACCCCTCAAACAGAAGGGGGCACATCCCCTTCTGGCAACCCCCTCATTTAACATTTGGATGGGGCGCCTTTTTTTAACAACATTTCTCAAACGAAAAACAGTGTTTGGGGCCTAAATAGGGCATTTTTTCACTGTTTGAGGCCTCAAAAAGGTTGGGGGGGGGGGCAAAAAGCCGTCGAAACATGCTTATATAAGGGTAAAGGTTAACAAAAAATGATGGAAAACCTTGGAATTACCAAAAAATAGTTTTTCCATGTTAACGCGTGCCCATACACCTAATTTTGGTGAAAAATTGTTGTTTTTTGACATTTTTATTTTATTTTTTTATTAAGCAGCATGTGCTAAATAAACGAAATGAAATTAAATCAAATAAATAATAACAGTTAAATAAGACTCGTCATAGGAAACAGAATTAGAAAAAAAACAAAAAAAACGTCATATTTTGCGTGTAAAATATTCAGAAAATAACAAATAGTGTTCAATCTATCGTAAGTGAAAGTGAAATAAAGAATAATAGTGTGAAATGAATTAATCATCAAAACTATTTTGACTTCTCGCGTGTTTTTTCCTCTTAAATATAATTTTAAAAAGAAAAAGAAAAAAAAAGCATTATGAATTGTAATTTAAAATAAAGTTTTTACATAATATAAACCATGATTTCGTTCTTTTGGGAAGAAGAGTATATTTTCTATAATTTCATTTAAAATAATCAAAGGACATGCGATATGGTACTTAAACAAGGAAAAATGAACTATTGTTTTCATGTTTTGAGGCCCTGTTATAGAATCAGGTCTAATTAATCAGTATATAACCTGCAACATGCACTTCATCGTTAGTGAGAAGTGCAGGGTTATAGTTGTGATTTAAGCTAACATTACATTAAAGGTCCATTATGCTCCCAGAAACCATTAAATTGATACATCGTTTTTAAATGGCAAATATGTCTTGTATAACACCTGAATACTTGTTTTAGACATATTTGATGCTCACTACCTGAATAACACTGAATGCTAAAATTATTTGTTATAAAAGTAACGAAATGAAAACAAAGTAGTATTATGACATCAATACAAAATACTTGACCAGTGCAACTGTACTATTTGTCCGAAAAACAATAGAAATAAATTATAGCTCAGAAATTTGAGCAATGAGTATTTGTTTGAAAACTATGAATAGGGCACCCAAAATAAAAAACTTTACAGAAAAAAAGTAAAAGCATAATGGGCCTTTAAATGATAAGTAATTTGTTGAATACCTGCTGATGGTGGCAAAGTTAAATGGACGACATCGACAAATCCAATAGATCGATAATACTTAAGTAATTTCGAACCCATGACCGATAGTTTGTATGGATATAGTATCACTTTGTTCACTCCCATATATTTATGATACTCCATCCATTCAACTGTCAATGCAATATTTATGTCACCATATATTATTTTTCCACAAACAGCAAAACTGAATTGCTTCGTCACTTTTAAAGGATAGTAGGGTTCCCTAAATATATTTTCATTTGTGCACGAATGCTGGGTGCTTACAGTCACTCCTGCTACCCGTAGATAACCATACTCATGTTGTTGTGTTGGATTTGGACACTCAACTTGAGCAGTCGTGTTAAACATTTCACTTCTTTGATTTATCCCTAGATGACCTAGCCTAATTAGTTTGCCACCTCGCATGAGATAACAACAATAAATGTCGTCTGCAACAAATGTTTGATTACTCCACGTGTTAACTGTAAATATATCATAATTTTCATTCTCAGATGAATTCAGTGCGATTACAGAAAACACAAAATATTGCGGACTGGCACGAACTGGTGTATTGTATACTTGATTATCTCCATCAATTCTGTATAATGTAGCTCTCTTACCACCGGATGAACGTATTACCTAAAATTAAGGAAATAGAAAAATACTATGATTATATTCAACAAAAGATCATCCAGGTTTTAGCATAAAAAAGAAAACACTGTATAATGCCATTATAAACTACCGTTAAAAGTTGTATAATAATTAACTGAAGACTTTGACACAATACAGAATATTTATAGTAGTAAACCTACATGACCAGTAGTACCATAAGCTTGAGTCAATAGCTGGTATAATTTACTCCCGACTACAACATGTACAACGTATTTTCTTCACGCATGATCGACGTCATTTCGTAAGGACTTCATTACATTTTCGGCTGATCGTTCTGATGCGGAAAAAAAGTTATGTGATATGCACTTTTGAGTTAAAAATTCCACATCCTTGATTTAGAACACCGTCAATTTGATCAATAAGGTCTCACACATTGCGATAAATCACGTTGCCAATAATGTTACCTCATGAACATGAACATGAACATAGACAAGACAATGCATCAAAGTCTATGTTCTTCTCTTGAAAAAAAAGAAGATAGTTTCAGTTGTAACCAATGATTTTCAAAATAGAAATAATTTTTATAAGCTTTTATTTGTTTGGGTCGTCAGACCAAACAAATAATGGTAGCGAAAGTTCAGACCCTGATGTGCTTATTTGCAAATACCAAAAGTAGTCCAAACTCCTCGACGCGGTTACTTCCCTTTAACGCCGAAAAATTAAGGTGAAATCACAGCGTAAAGATTGTCAAATGACAGGCGCATTAATTTTCAAGCCATTCTCAGGGAAGAACAAAAAGTTCCCGATTGGTCGAAGAATTCTTATATTGTGTTATTCTTTACAGATAAACATGATTAAGAAATTCTTTTGAAAGCACTTAAATCATATAAAAAAGGTAAGGCGTGAGGAAATGACAAAATTTATTATGAAAACATTATTCACGGTGGGTCCTTACTTCGATGTGTATTAATAAAGTTATTCAATGGAATGTTAACCTTAGGCCACACCCCGACCGATTTATAAAAAGGGGATTATTTCAACACTTTTCAAGGGAGCCAATAAAAAGAAAACTGATCATAACAGTTACCGAGCAATATCTTTGTGTTCTTGTCTGCTTAAACTTTATGAAAAAGTCCTCATGCAGTTAACTGAAGATGGCAGGAAATTAAAGGTTAACTCAATCGCAGAGAGGATTTCAAATAAATGTGAACTGCCTGATGACAACGTATATGTTACGTGAATGTATCAACTACGCAAAAGAAAATAATTCTCCGGTATATACGTGTTTCCTAGACGCCAAGCAAACGTTCGACAGAACATGGACATCTCTCCTATTAATCAAATTATACAATACCGGTATTGACATTACAATATTGAAGGCAATATTATTATTTTTCACAGAATGCTTTAGCTGTGTTAAATCACAAGGCTATACATCAGACTGGTTCCCGATTCTGCAAGATACCAGACAAGTACAGTGCCTCAGTCCCTACCTATATATCGTATTCATTAATCAGCTGATGAATGAAATAGAAAATAATGAATATTGCTTCAAACTTCATGATATACGATGTGGTTGTCCAACGTCGGCGGATGATATGGTGCTTATATCACATGTTAAACACGGTCTTGACAACCTTCTTGACATATGTTATACAAACTCTCAAAACGAACGAATTTTGTACAATCCAGATAAGTGTAAAGTCGTTGTTTTCAATGACAAATCTAATGTTCCTCGTAAATGGAAATTTGGAAGCAGAGAAATCGAAGAAGCACCTGGGGGTGCCTTGAAATAAGTCTTTATCCTTATCACAAAATATAGAGGAAAGTTGTACTAAACTCCGCAAAACATTTTATAGCTGTGCGGATTGTGGAATACAAAAACATGGGTTTAACCCGCTCACGTCTAAGAAAATATATGAATCAAGCGCTATATGGGAGTGAACTGTGGAATGAAATTACAGACGCACAGTTAGCTCCCCTTGAACGAGCTCACCGTCAATGCAGTAACATATACAAAGCGTTCCGAGACTTCGTGTTAAGCTGTCTAGGCATATATCCGATAGGCGTCATCATTGACAAAAGGAAACTTCGGTTTACTGTGTCGTTTGAATATAAAATTTAAAGTTAAACAAGTATTTTCAAATCGTACATGCTGGAACCCAGAAAAGTGTCTGGATTTATCTCAGATTTATACAAAATATTAGGTCGGTATGGACTAACTTCGTTCTTACGAATTTACATGAACACTGGAACTATACAATCCTCATACGCATGGAAAAACACGATCAAATCAGCCATTCACAAAACTGTTGAATTCGAATGGCGCAATAGAATATTATGCGATGCCAGTCTATCTAGTTTCTCCCGCTTGCACTCAAAGTATGAACTTGTATGTTGTGAGTATAAAACATATCAGATTCAATGTGTTTATGCATTCAGACTTCTTTCTAAATTTTTCTCAAGAAACTATGAAGTAACGTGTAATAAATGTGAATTACCCACTGACTATATTGTGTTACACATTGTTTTCTTCTGTGAGAAAATGGAGAGTATCAGATCTACATTACGGTCTAACCTGTCACATATTTTAGGCATACAACAATTCGAAATGTTTTGTACCCTTTCACTAGAATCACAACTTTTAGAAATTTTTAGTGGTTTTGATTCTTTTGACATGAACGATAGCCTGAGAGTATCATGTTTTAAGGTGTTCCTAGCAAGTGTCTATAACACTATGTAACAATGTACAAGTAAAATGGTTTCATGCGGGGAACATTTTTAATGATATAAAGATATTTCATTTAACTATTTTCAACATTGTTTTGGGAGAGGGGAATAAATAAACGTTTGTATCAGGAATATAGTTGACAATAATCGATCAATATAGAAGAAGGTCTTTGGAAACTGGTGGCCGTTGATGACCGGAGAAGGTCGAACATAAAACAATTATTTCTTTTTAAGAAAATGATTAAATAGGCCTTCCATTTTATGAATAATTCCAAGCAAAAAAGTAAACGCACAGTCAAGTTTAAGCAGAAAATATCTATATTTATAATGGCAGATGCCACTACGAATATTTTAATTTTGTAGATTTTCAGTATAAACAATTTATTGTTTGTAAAATTTGAGATACATATATTAAAGAAACAATGAAAATTTTCAAATACATCATTCATACCGTTTTCCACCTTAAACGGTAAAATAATTATAGAAAATTAGAAATATCACGTAATAGTTTTTTGTTCTTAATTAGGTGTAATTCTGACTAATTCCCTAGAGGGAGGTAATTCCGTAACGTACCGACAAACGGTATTTAGCCAGGTTTTCGAAAAGGTCAATTAACCAATCGTGTACGGTTTACAGATCACATGCACCTCCATGTACCGAAAACAGGTGACGTGCTCCTCCATACCTCAAAAGTTAAACGCGTACCAATACCCTGCGGTCTCCAGACCGCAGGGAATAAACTGTGATATTAGCAGATGGCGAATAACTTTATTGCATTAAGTTATATTGAGTTATGAACGTGTACATAAAGATTTAATACTGAATGTTATATATTTTCAATTATTTATGTTTGTTTTATGAATTTTCTTATTATAAATGTACATTTTTGTGATATCATTACTCTTTGTTCACAACACAACCTACACATCTTAATGTTTCGTTTTCGGTTTAAGGTTAACATACAAGTGTTGTTTTCCATAAGAATTCTTTTTTTTTCACTATTGCTTAATTTAAATCATAGACAATGTAGAATACAGATAGTCAATAATTGATAGTTTGCGTAAGTGCCCTTATTCATATATAAAACAACAACACCTTGCCTAGCTTAAACACACTTTAATGGCCTTGATAATTTTGCAATCATTTATATATTATAACATTTATTTTCCCCAAAATTATCCATTGTCTTTCCTCAAAATTGAAATTATTGTAACTTTTAATTACTTAAATGATTTGGATTTTACCTCTGCCTTCACCTAAGCGATTTTGTTGCACTAAACAAGCTCATGTCCGTTGCTCTTGATATATACATATGAACATGATATCTATACAACTAAGTAGCTTATTCCTTTGTACATGCTATATAGATGCATTTTCTTTATACATAAAAATCTTGTATTTATATTTGCTGTATATAATATTATGATCCTTTGTACGAACTGTAATATATAATGTATTATGTAAATGTTCTTCAGTTATGGAGGAAATAAAGATAATAATAATAATAAGTTTACCGTGAAATTAATAAGGGTTGCAAACCCTAATTTAGAATAATGTGGTTTTCTTCAAATTGTTGTCTTATAACTTCACCGTGGTCGAGGGGTTACACGCTCGGTAAGGTAGTGAAAGGTCTGGAGTTCAAATCCCAAAGAAGTTTTTTTTATTAGTTGTTTAAGCCAAATAAACATTGAATTGAATATCAGTGTTGCAATTAGCCTTATAGCCAATTTACTACAGTTATAACACTGGAAACAGCATTGGTGACACTATACAAAAACAAAATAGTTTATAATCTCATAACCTTCACCTTTCTGACATTCTGAGACCACCCAAACAAATTCAGCTGAACCTTCTGTGCTTTGATCTTATTTATTGATGTTTTCTTAAATAATTGATTAATTGATTTACCCCTATTTTCTCGAGATTTTCGTGACAGCCCATATAAGGGAGATTTTTGACAAAAGTTCACGGACAATAAGGTAACCTTTACCTGTCATAGGGCAAAACCACATCCACCTCTATCATAAAATCATTATTCAAACATTTATTCCTTATGTTATAAATTTAGAAACTTTATTTTTTTATTATATAGATTCTCAGTATTTCATGTATAAAATTATATTTAAGTTTGTAATGTTAATTTCCTATAGGTCAATAGGAGTTATTAATGCAAGTGTACCACGTGACTAAGAAATTGTTTTACGACTGATCTTACGAGAACAAAAAATGAATCGGTAGCACATACTTAGACCATTCCACGTCTTATTTCAGTATCGCGATCTTTATTTTTTTTTTAAATATTGAACTTTTTTGTTGTTTCTTTTATTTTGACACCTCGAAATTTGTGAAGTTAGCAGCCTAGCAGCCTAAACGTTTTTTATGTGGTAGATGAAAGAAGAATTCAATTAAATACTTCTTTTATAAAATTAATTGATAAACTATTTAATTGATCGATTATGTAATGATATTTATTTTGATTTTATACAAAATACCAACATTAATATTTACATGTGTGTAAAAAGATAGTTTAATATATTTACATAATTTTCATTCTGTAACTATAGATATTCATTAATACAGTTAATATTTTGCTTGTTTCTTAATTTGTTTTATTGTAAAGAATGCGTTCTTCTTTTGGAGCAAATAAAGATTATCTATTTTGAACGAACGGAAAAAAGCTTGTAATACAGTCATTTAATGGCAGCAGTGATAACGACTTGCTAATATCACCAATATAGCACCAATACAGCCTACATAAATTTTTACCGTCGTCACGCGCTGTATAGCACCAATACAGCCTACATTTACCGTAGTCACGCGCTCTGTAGCACCAAGACAGCCTACATTTATCGTAATCACGCGCTCTATAGCACTCAGACAGCGTACATTTACCGTAGTCACGCGCTCTATAGCAGCAAAACAGCCTACATTTACCGTAGTCACGCGCTTTAAAGCAATAAGACAGCCTACATTTACCGTAGTCACGCGCTCTATAGCACCAATACAGCCTACATTTACCGTAGTCACGCGTTCTGTAGCACCAAGACAGTCTACATTTACCGTAGTCACGCGTTCTATTGCTCTCTTCTTAATTATCTATTTCTCTTGAATTCAAACTAGATCAGAACGATTGCAAACATATTAAGGTCTTTCAGATAAAACAAGAAAATAACTAGTAAACTTGAACACATTATCTTTTTATACGAAACAGTAAATAAATAAAAATAGAAGGGTACTGACCAGAAATCCAGTGCCTACTAATACACAATTCAGTGTCACCCAGCATACTAGAATTACAACTAATATCCTGAAATTCCTGAACAGAATTGAAATACATCGTCTCATTGTCGAATATGTATGTATGTATAAATATAGGCGTTATCATACCGTACAAGCGTATGATTTAAATCCCGTCTCTAAATTTATAAAGATATCATGGATATTCAAATATCGGCTTGTTGTGAGAGTATCCTATAATACAAAACCGATTTATTCACTTTGAATATTTCATTTTCAATTTATAGTGCATCACTATATGTGTCATTCATGCGTGTATTTTGTTTTCACCATATTCTTATAGAGTAGGCGCGTCACGCTGGCGTGAAACACATAAAAATAATAATAATAATAGCACGGTAAAATACTCATCGGTTGATGGCTTAATCAGAGATTTAACACGAAACTATTGAAGGGTTTTGACAATACAGTTTTTCATTTTTATATGAATAATATATAAAAGTTTAAACCAGCATATAGAAAGCATATATATTAGAGTATTATAAAGTTCATTCAAATGTTTGACTCCATTTGGTGTAATTCAAACGAACGGACCACTTTATTAAGAAACTAATCTACAATATATTTTATAGGAGGATTATTTTAATGCGTCAAAACATTAATAATTTCCCATTTCACTGTGCCGTTCATATTTGGCTCAGTTTTTCAGGTTTTGACAGCAACTTCACTTCGAAATGACCTTGGTAATGCTGCAGGGGTCTGTGTTCCACGCAGACAGTTACATGTAGAAGGCTGCATGAAGGTAATTTGCGGTCGAGAAGACCTTGCAAAAGTATCCTCTTGAAACATCGCCAGGTCCATTTGGAATGGACCATGGAGCATGCACGGTGGACCATGCAACACTGGAGACACGTTCTGTTCACTGTTGAGTCCAGGTTCTGCCTAGACTTCACAGATAGGTGTGCTAGAGTCTGGAGTAGACGAGGTGAACGTTTTCAGGCTACAAATATTTCTGAGCATGACCGGAGGTGGGTCAGTAATGGTGCGGGGAGGCATCAGCTGGGATGGACGAACCTGGTTGTGCTAAATAGAGGCACATTGACAGGTCAGCGATACATAGACAACATCTTAGACAACCAGGTTAAGTTGGATGCTGGAGCAGTCGGCGATCAGTCAAGTTCATTCTCATGGGCGATAATGCTCGCCCCCATAGGACCAGGGTGGTCCAGGACTACCTAGAGAGGGAGTCTATTGAATGCATGGACTGGCCAGCTCACTCACCTGACTTAAATCCAATAGAACACATGTGGAATTAGCTGCAGGTTAGAATTTCAGCTCGTCAGCTGCAACCCAGAACAATCCAGGATCTTGGAGCCATGTTGGTCCATGCAGCCACACCCGTTAGAACGATCAGAAACCTAAAAGGGAGTATGAGTAGGCGCATACGAGCTGTTTTTTGATAGTCACGGATCAAACACACACGGTATTTAGTAAAAAAAACAACACACACGGTATTTAGTAAAAAAGCAAAGACAAAAAAACAATAAACTAGAAATATCGCTGAATGCGATTCATACCCTCACCATGACGACTTGGAAAGGTGGTTAAGGGAATAACTTTAGTGGCACAAATACAAATACATAAAAGAAATTATCTCTGGTGAAAAAAAGACAAATTGTACAGCACGCCCGGCAAACTGTCGCTCCACTTCAAAATTGTGGTGTACGGTAAAACGAGCGAACGGCATTTCCGAGATAGAGCGGAAGGCCGATTATGAAGGATAATTGTAAGTGTTGTTTATGTTTTTGTCTTGTTATTCATTTAAGGTGCATTTTTTTGAAAAACGGAAAATGTAGTTCCGTGAAGGATTAATTTAGGCTTCCAATGATCTAAGCTGTTACAAACGGAAAATTATATCAAGCCTGGCAGAACTTTTCCCCCTGACGAAGTGAACGACGATCTGTTAAATATCAAACTTCAAACCATGAAAACGCTCTACATATAGGATTTTTTGAAAAAAGTGTTTTACAAAAATATCAACCCGTAACGTAACAAGAGCTAGTCTTTCGTGCAAAATAAACTACTCTTGGTGGATTTCTTACATTTCACGGTGATAGGGCGTTTAGCGCAACGTCAAAATATCATACGTCTGCCCGAGACACAGTATCTTTCTTGACAAAAAAGCTATGGCGGGCTTATCGAATTGTAGGAAATAGCTTATAAAATATCTTACTGTTAGACATTGCAAACTTTTTTCAACGTTTTAATTATTCCATCGAATATTTGAAACATTTTATCGTTAATTTAGCACAACACAATTCGCAGAACATCACATATTTCGAAGAAATAGTGTTTATAAAAGGTCGTGTCGACCTCAACATGAATTGTACTTATCACAAAAACCTAGGCTTTAACGACGATGTTTTTTGCTATGACCTGACGAGCCCGTATATATATAATGGTTAAGCGTTTTTCGAAAAAATGCAACTTAAATGAATAACAAGACAAAAACATAAACAACACTTACAATTATCTGTTTAAATCGGACTTAACTTTGTCAAAACACAATCCATAGTTACCACCACCCTCTTCCCCCCACACACTTTTTTAGTTATGAAACTTGACCTGCATATCTTACTTACGACACTTCATATATATCAGAACTTTCAAATGATAGAATTTATAGAGCGGACACAACATATTGTCTAGTATTGATTGTATGTAAATCTAAAGACTTAAACAGGTGCATAACTTTGTCAAATTGCAATCTAGAGTTATAGAACTTGACCTGCATATCTTATTTGTGACACCTCATATATCGTTAAAGTTTTGAGCAAATACCTGTGCTAGTTTCAGAAATATTCAAGTACATGTTAAAACTGAAGAAATTTCTTAATTGAAGAGCATATCTTACTTGCGACACTTCATATATATTTGAAGTTTCAAATGATGATATGTTCTAGTTTTAGAAATATTCAAGTACATGTTAAAATTTCAGAACATTTTCTAAGTCAAGTTTTGACCTTCAAGTGTGACCTCGACCTTAAGCCGGCAAAAGGGTAACATGGGTTCTGCACATAACCTTGTTGAGGTGAACATTTGAGCCAACATTGAAGACAATCTTTCAATTAGTGTAGGACTTACAGAGCGGACACGACATACTGTCTAATATTTGATTGTTTGATATTTGACCTTCAATTATTACCTTGACCTTGAGCTAACACATGGGCAACATGGGTTCTGCACATCCCCTTGTTGAGGTGAACATTTGAGCCAAGTTTGAAGAAAATCCTTCAATTGATATAGGAATTAAAGAGCGGACACGAAAATGGAGACGGACGGACCGACGCGGCAAAGCGAATTCATTATAGCCCCCCCCCCAACACATATTGTGGTGGGGGTATAAAAAAACCTTTTGCACGGCGTTAACATTAATTAAATTATCCCAAAAATATTCACACTCAAACATATGGTGCTTAGCAAAAGTTGAGTAGTATATATTAAGCTGTAGATGTTTGAAATAACTTTATTATTGTATTTATGTAAAATTATTAATCTATTAATCAGAAAGACGTGTCATTAAAAAAGTCAAACTAATTGCACATTTAATGCTATTATTTTATTTATTATTTCTGGCCAAAATCAGTTTTATGCAGTCATGGTTTAACTCGTATTACAATATTGAGTATAATTAATGATTTTCCGATATATTGGGGGCATGTATATATTATTGTCACTAAAGTTGTATATTGTATTCTATAGGGGCGCCCGTGGCCGAGTGGTTAAGGTCGTTGACTTCAAACCACTTGCCCCTCACCGCTGTGGGTTCGAATCCCGACAGGGACTTTGGATTCTTTCATGTGAGGAAGCTATCCAGCTAGCTTACGGAACGTCGGTGGTTCTACTCAGGTTCCCGTTCGTGCCTGAAATAATGTACGGAAGGGCACCTGAGGTCTTCCTCCACCAGTAAAGCTGGAACGTCGCCATATGACCTATAATGTGTCGGTGTGACGTAAAACCTAATTAAAACAAAACAAAATATTCTGTTACCCATTTCTATAAAGGAAGCACAATATAATCATTATATTCGCACTAGGGTGGCGTTCTCATTATATAAAGCACACTGTACCTCTGGCGTGTACAGAAGTTTCAGTTCCGCAACTAGTACTGGTAAACAGCATGGGTGAACTGTGGTCTTGTAATTTCAATGCGGTTTACTGCCGTGATCTTGTGTGAAAGCAGAGTTCCCATTTTTTACGTCGTGTAACACTGAACTGTAACATGGTAAAAGACACCTTGTGCCGATTATACTCGTATACATGTATTTACCTCCGGAGGCTGTTAAATGACTCCTCAAGTATGCTTTAATTTCTGGTTCTATGATCTAAAATATAATAAACCAATTACCAATATCATTAGTAGCTAAACATATATAGAGAAGTATCACTCGCGTAACCAGTATGAACGCATTTTAAAATGAACTGAATAGTTGAAAAACAAAATGGTTTCCGTCAGAAACGTAGTACTGTAAACCATTCACAAGTATCAAAGATAAAAATGTATGTGAGCAGTCTATTTTCAATGCCTTCATTGACTTCAGATAAACGGTGGAATGTCTTCAAACATGCTTTCAACAATTAAATCGAGATCTCTGTATCGTGTTTATACACTTAACATATCTTATAAGTGTGCACCTTTTATGTCCTTATAACTTCTTCGTTTATCAATATATTTTTACAAAATTTTGTGTTCTGACTATTGGCTGCATTTCCACACATTTCATGTGCTCAAGCATGTCAATTTTAATTATGAGGTGCGTTCAACCATGAACACAATGCACGAAAAATGTGAGAATGGGTGAATAAGATTGCACATGATATTCTCGGATACGAAAGAGATCCACATATCAGAAAAACACCTCATGGGTAGATTAGCTATAGAACAGCGTGCCATGGTATAGCCCTATGATTGGTCAACGCTGGTGTACACCAAACAGAGATTGGTAACAAAATTTATTTGTGTAATTTTATATTACTTTGCATTGTAAAAGCCCAAAATCGTTTAAATTCAGTTTCTATCAATGACGAACATAAAATGAATATTTTTATTTAGTAATTACTTGTATGTATCATTTGTAGGTTGCGCCTGGCATGGGTGTACACCAAACTACCTAAGAAGGCTAATCATTAAGAACAGAACAATTTCTTTGGTAACCTTCCTCACCAACCCCAAAATTATCTACAACGGTATGTAAGATCGATGTGACGACACTACCGGGCTGTAATTATAGTCAGGGTGGGCACACACAGTATATGGACATCCTTTTGCAACATCGACTTTCGACACGCATTCACATGTTTTAGAAATTAAATCTTAAATTTGTATCTTGAATAAAAAATACTTAATAACAATGATAACATGTCTCATTTATGTATTTGTTGAAAATTTCAGCATGATCGGGCAAATATTGATACACCTATGAAACCATTTATACATGCACACTTACAAGATTTGTTAAGTGTAGATTGATTTGATGTCCCAACACCTTTTTTTTAAAACATTTACTTGACAAAATAGTAGTGTGTTGATGATGAACGTGTTTGCATCTTGTATTGGGGTGATATTGTACTTCTTTCAAAGTGACTTACAAGGATTGATGTCTACAAAATTATATCATTAAAATGTAGTTCTTATTATTCGCTATGAAGCGCCCATTTGGAATATACATGTATACAAAATCTTGTTCATCTTTATATGCAGTTTATCACAGAGCTTTGAGATTTTTATTGTGTATCGGAAAAATGCTGGTGGGCATGGTGATATTGTTTAACACCCGAAAGTTGTTTGTAATAATTAGAGCCCACGACTATAGGACTGATAAGAGTAAAAATTTGTTAAAGTAAAGATGGTCGGAATTGTTACAAGAAGAAATAGTGATCCTAGATCACTTACCTATTCCTAGATCACCATTCTTGCAGAAGAAAAAAATGAGGTCATGCATGAATTTTAAAACATTAAAAGAGCTCTGCTAGGAAAAGCTACATACCAAATATCTAAGCTTTGGCCACAAAATTCAAATGTGCTTTTATCCAAACTTTCAAGCCATTTAAATTATAAAACTGCCAACAGGGACCTGGCCGATTTTGATCAAAGCATGATTTATAAAACTTTAGTAGATAACCACAATGTGCGACCCCGCCAAGCGAAAAGTCGAGAATTAACAAGTTAAAATGGCGGGGGCGCGGAGCGAAAACACGCTAATTAGCGGGGTCGCGTGGCGAAAAGTCAAGATTTTATTGTAAAACCGCGGGGCCGCGAAGCGAAATATTTATTGTTATAGGGCGCTAATCAGCGTGCTGTTGTTCGCGCCCCCGCAAAATTATTCTTTAAAAACTCGACTTTTCGCTCCGCACCCCGCTAAGTAGCGTGTTTTCGCTCCGCGGCCCCGCCGTTTTTGTAATTAAATCTCGTCTTTTCAATCCGCGCCTCCGCGGTTTTATTCATTCTTGCAACCTCGCTCGGCGCCTCCGCTAATTAGCGTATTTTCGCCCCGCGACCCCGCCGTTTTATTTCTTAAATCTCGCTCCGCGACCCCGCGGGACGAAGTTTTATTTTTAAATATCGCCCCGCGACCCCGCTAATTAGCGTGTTTTCGCCCCGCGACCCCGCCGTTTTATTTCTAAAATCTCGCTCCGCGACCCCGCCGGGCGAAGTTTTATTTCTTAAATCTCGCCCCGCGCCCCCGCTAATTAGCGTGTTTTCGCCCCGCGACCCCGCTGTTTAATTCCTTAAATTTCGCTCCGTGCTCACGCGGGCCGAAGTTTTTATTTCTTAATTTTCGTGTTTTCGATTTCCACAGAATAATAGAAGAAAATATCTCTAAATCAAAAGTTAATCGGTATCTATACTGTATTGAATTTTTGTTTAACCTGTTAAAATGTCACAAAGTTACAGATAGAATGCATTCTTGCCTGTGTTAACACATTGTGTAAAACAAACTGCGCATGCCCCACTAAAAACCGGAAGACGAAAATTAAGAATAAAACTTCGTCCCGCGGGGTCGCGGAGCGAGATTTAAGAAATAAAACGGCGGGGTCGCGTGGCGAAAACACGCTAATTAGCGGGGGCGCGGGGCGAGAATTAAGAAACAAAACTTCGCCCCGCGGGGTCGCGGGACGAGATTTAAGAAATAAAACGGCGGGGGCGCGGGGCGAAAACACGCTAATTAGCGGGGGCGCGGAGCGAAAAGTCGAGGTTTTTAAGAATAATTTGGCGGGGGCGCGAACAACAGCACGCTTATTAGCGCCCTATAACAATAAATATTTCGCTTCGCGGCCCCGCGGTTTTACAATTAAATCTCGACTTTTCGCTCCGCGCCCCCGCTAATTAGCGTGTTTTCGCTCCGCGCCCCCGCCATTTTAACTTGTTAATTCTCGACTTTTCGCTTGGCGGGGTCGCGGGGCGAAAACGCGAAATGGCACAAATCAGCCACCATATTAAACCGATTAAAATATACTCTGAGCACTGTAGCTTTTGATCAGAAGATTTTTAAGCAATAAACTAAATTACCCAAAGGCGGGGCATTTCTTAACATCAGGGTCATGATTTATGTAACGTTTGTAGTACATGTAATATACCGGACCATGCTACACATGTTAAATATCTTAGTTTTTGGCATTGTAGGTTTAAAAATAATAAAAGCTAGTGGGTGTGTGTAGATGTAGGGTTGTGAATTACATTCTTGTTATTCTTAAAGGATGTCGATACATGACAGGTATGATTTATTCTTGATAAACATAAAAATTGTATAGATGGGACTTTACATAAGACTATATATATATATGACTCTATTTTCTCCAACCTATCAGAAATCTGATCTAATACGAATTTTCATAATAACATTTGTCCAAATAAAAGGAAATATCAGTCAACATTTTTACACCAGATCGATGTTCCATTTTTACACAATTTATATTGTCATTTAAATAAGTTTAATATTTTAGCACAAAAAGTGTTACGCTTGAAATTCCGGTATTTTTCTTTTTTTTAAGAGCTAACTGTTGCTCCATGCTAACATCGTCTAACAGCTGCAAAGTAATACAAGATATACTGATAAATATTATATAATTGACCTCTTACAGGGTGTTTCATAATATGTGATACACTTTTAATCAAATGTTTCATTTATGTAAGAATGTCAGTAATATTGAAAAATGTACCATATTAAAGGGAAATGCTGTCCATTTATAAAAGTGTAGTTTTTTCCTTATTTAACCTACCAATAATATTTTTAGCTACGCTTGAAAACAGGGCCCATTTGTAGCATATACTCAAAATGACGTCCATTATGGCGTCGCACCATCTCCACACGTTTCATGAAGTTTTCCATCACATTATTGCATATGTCACCAGTAATCTTTCTTATTTCACATCTTATGGACTGTTTAAGGTGATATGTTGTCTTTGGCTGCACTTTGTGGACACTGTCCTTGAGATAGCCCCAAAGAAAAAAATCCAAAGGACTGAGATCTGGAGAGTCGGGTGGCGAAGTGCATTCCGTCTTCAGAGAGATAAATCGTTTGTCAAATGTTTTTAAGCCATTCAAGAACTCTCTGGACCGTGTGTGGAGCGGTACCATCTTGTTGGAACCATGTTTGTGTCATATCAACCCCTTTCAGACGGAGTGCAGGCAGAAACTTGTATTTTAGAAGAGACAAATAGCGGTCACTATTGATTGTCTCGGTATTTCAGTCTTGGTCTTGGAAAAAAATAGCACTGGTTACTGTGTCTCTGATCAAGTACACTTCCATGCTGCTGAAATCTTTTAACTACTCTGCTTACTTGTAGCCTGGTCACCCTTCTATCGGCAGGGTACATTTTCCTCATTCTTCTAGTTACAGATATTATAGAATAGTGTTCATAGTACAATTTTATGATATCTTGACACTTTTCCATGGACAACGCCAATTTGAAAATAACAGATAATAATGATGTCATACATGACGTCATGACGTTAACGTATTCCAGTATTTTACGTCGCATTCAAAATGGTGAAGTGTGTAGTTTATTTTGGTATAAGCATTTTGTTTGTAGCTATAAAATCAGTAAAGCAACAATTCTTTGAAAGTGTATCACATATTATGAAACACCCTGTATATTACAAATACATTAGAACTTTGACACAGATATGGAGTTCTAATTGTTGTCCTTTATTTCGTAAGGTCCCAGCAATGTTATGAATAAATATTCTATATTAATGTACGATAGTAAGTTTAAGCCTTATTTGAAGACACACTATAATAACGGTAAGTAAAATTATATATATAATGACTGCTCTATACATGTCTGCATTGTCTGGTATCTATGACAATAATTTATTTCAGTAACAACATAATTTTTATAAGTAAAAATCCGGACACAATATCTGTAACATTACATGATGAAAAATGATATGATGCTTTATCTAGTTAAAAGTTAAATGTGGGTCTCTGTAAGGAACAAATTTTTTACGAGAACCCAAGTGTAAACACGTTTCAGAAATTCAGTACTTATTGGAAATTAAAAAGAAAAAAGAGGTGTTTTATTGTGGTGTTATATGTGATATGACACGGTATGGTATTCTCATTACCAGGTACAAAATGTAAATGTGTTTTTTATTGCTAATATTTTATAAATAATGATTGTTAATTGATTTATCCAGTCATCATAACAAATAATACATGTTTTCATCAGTTAATAATTATGTTAACTTTATTATTAAAATTATCGTCAAGATAATCTTAAAGCAAAATTTTAAAATTTCATCCTTGACATATTTCATTACCAAAATTTAAAGATATATCATTATAACCCACTGAAAAATGTCCTTGTACCACTCTAACACCTCACTTTAACGTCTTTATAACATTTTTATTCATCTGTATGAAAACCGGGAAAATGTACAAAGCAAACTTAAGCAAACTTAAGCAAACTTAAGTATTTTATAATTATCTACTACACAAACTTTTCTATCTCCAACGTTTCGAGGGGATAAACCCCTCTTTATCAAGGAGTTACTGTTTATTTTTATATATATCACATATTTATCTTCTTACATGTCTTATCTTTAACTATGTTATGCATACAGGAAGTGACGTCATTATGGTTTATCCCCTCGAAACGTTGGAGATAGAAAAGTTTGTGTAGTAGATAATTATAAATTAACTGTTAAATTTCCAGATAGAAATTAAGTATTTTAAAATCAACGAAAGCGATTTAACGCACTACAATGTCACATTTATATAATTTTCTTATGTAATTAAGTGTCAGAAAAATGCGTAAGAAAACTGAAGGCATGATTGTTTTATATATATGTTTCCATGAATTGTTTTGAACACATTTTCATACCAAAAATATAGGCAAATCATAAAAGTTATGACACTAATTCCGTATTAATATTAGTATTATATGTATTAATGTTCAATGTTACTGTTACATGTTGACAGGGACTCCTTTATAACATGAAGTTTCTTCTGCTGGTTGGTTTCTGCTGCATGGCAACTGGTTTCCCTAATGGAGCACCTGACATTGCATGTAAAGAAATGGTGCCAGGGCATCTTCCAACTGTAACTTCCGGTGACAATCCTTTTAAACTTAACATTTCCGTAACGTCGTATAAACCAGGCGATGTTATAACAGGTAATTATTATCTTTTAGGACTTACTCTATTACGTTCATTTATACTTTCTCTTGATAAGTAGTATAATAAAATTGTTTGTACTTTATTTTTAACAAATGCTTCATGCTCTTAATATATTTTCTATTGTATGAATATCAAAACAGACTGTTATCTCGTAATAAACTTGGCACCTGTTTTCAGCGTGTAACTTGAATTCCTTATAATGATAAATTATTAAACATTCTAACACTCCTCGTGATTTTGTCACTATAGACATAGAAGAAAAAAAACCAGTGTTAAAATGCCAATAAACACTCGTTAGGGACAACTTGTATATGCGGCTATGTTTTCTGCCTCGATTATATAGCTTACAAAGCCTTTTAAAGCATAAATAAAAATGCATTTTTATTTATATTTTCAGTTCTTATAATGTTTTCTTTTCATGCAATACTGAAATAATATCTCACATACACTAACGCCACAGATTTGATCAAATATTTTGACAAAACGGCGCGCCAATCCGTAAGCAGCGTAGCAACAGTAGGGTGCGAAATCGAACAGCGTTATACGAAAATCGGCACTGGAAGTTATCTCCGCTTGAAAAAATAACATGAGTGATCTTTCTTATTTTATCTTGTTAGAATCGAAATAACATCGGTCTAAGTGCTGTTTATCGGCTATTTAACACCGACATTATTTCTAAGGTTTTAACACCAATATTGCAAAACGAACGTGTAAATAACATAAAGCATTATTCTGTGGCATTTAAGGAGAACTCTACTCAGCCGAGAACATTAAATTCAGAGGATTCTTGATAGAAGTTGGAACAGCACAAGATGTCTCAGAAAAAGAGGAAGGTGTGGGTGAATTCATAAATCTCGATACGGGTATACAAAAACATGTCTGCGGAAAGGTGCATTTTCTTATTTTATATGTCCGTATAAGTATGTTAAAATGATGCATCTATACTTCAATAGTTACAACAATAGGCACTTTACTATTTTCAATAATGCTGTCAGGAATTGACTATTCTATATGATATTTCGCATAGTGAATGCCCCATAAAACAGATCAAAATAATGCTTATACTTATCTTTAAAATAAACATGTGAATAATTATTTTCACTTGATATCAGACTCACGTATATAGCATATGCATAAAAATATTTATAAATTAATAAAATGCACAAATAATTGACAATTATAAATGTTTGTTTCGTTCCTTGCATAATAAAGTAATATTACCAGATATTGTTTTTTTGCCTTTAAGACCGAAAGCAAACTAAATAATATAAACAATGTATCAAACTCCACGTAATGGTTACTTCCCCGAACAGTTTCAGTGGCAAAATATGACGTAGTTTGACAATGTACATCTATTGTTTCAGGCTGGCATAACCCACATCAATAATCAGGACAAATTATCTGTAAAATTTTCATGGAAGGCACCCGATACATCTGCTGGTGATTTGTCAATAAGGTAACCTATATTATTTCTCATCTTTACAAGTCTTTTCTTATTTTTATTTTCATTTTGTTAGGGTTTTCATCGCACCAACCCAGTAAAGGTCATACGGCGTCTTTCCAGTTTTACTGGTCGCTGAACCTTCAGTGCATTATTTCACGCATGAATGGGCACCGACGTTACTTAAACTAGCTTGATAGCTTCCTCACATGAAGAATCTAAAGTCCATGTCGGGATTCGAATCAACAGCGGTTTACATGTCAAATATTGCTAAGGTTTCTGCAAATAGGTAGGAAGCTGTTAGTTATACTGTACTTAAGTTTCTACAAAAAACAGGTGGAATAAAAGTCTTCACATAGGTCGATTAGTTTGTTAATCAATCAATGTTTAGTCTGTTGGAAAGGGCTTCTTTTTTGATGGTCAAACAGTGTCTGTGGTATAGTTAACTACCTAGCTAAACTTATCTTTGAGTACGGCATACGACAAAATTGTCATTTACGAGTATTACTAGGATTATTGCAAATGACATGTGTTCACTGATAAAATATTGCTTAGTTATGAATAAACGTACATATAATTATTTGCTATTGTATTTTATTTGAAAAATATTAAATTTATTTATTTTAAACTTTTTTAAAAAATTTTAAAAAAAAACCCTTTTCTGTAGCATTTTATGTTCAACAAAAAAATGTTCATTTTTAGTGGGGAATTAAAAAGTGGGTAATGGTTTAATTTTAAATGTTTTTTTATTAATGGTTTAATTTTAGTTGGTGCATTTATAAGATCGATCAAAAAAGGGATACAAAGGGGATATGTCGCGGAAGGAAATTTTTAAAAAATGTAATGTTTTCTTGGGGTTTTTATAAATTTTTTTAAAACCCCCTTTAAACAAGCAAAACCGGGACATTTTTTTTATTCAGGGCCCAAATGTTGTAAGAAAAAAATTTTTTCCCAAAAGATATTTTTCCCGGGGGGCGGTTTTCCAACCCAAAGGGTTTGGGGCTAAATAAAAACCCAAAAATGATACCCATTGTTAAGTATAAGCAATGATATTTTATAACCTATTTTAGAGAAATAAAAGACAATAAAAAGGGAATGTTGAATTTGTTACTTTTACATGAATTATCAGAATCCAAATTTGATTCTGAAATATTATAAATAATCATAACTGTCGACATAAATCATATCACAAGATAATGTGTTGATGGTGTATCACAAGATAATGTATTGATGGTGTATCATAAGATAATGTATTGATAGTGTATCATAAGATAATGTATTGATGGTGTATCACAAGTTATTGTTTTGATGGTGTATCATAAGATGATGTATTGATGGTGTATCATAAGATAATGTATTGATGGTATATCATAAGATAATGTATTGATGGTAAATCATAAGATGATGTATTGATGGTATATCATAAGATGATGTATTGATGGTGTATCATAAGATAATGTATTGATGGTGTATCATTAGATAATGTATTGATGGTATATCATAAGATAAGGTATCGATGGTATATCATAAGATAATGTATTGATGGTATATCATAAGATGATGTATTGATGGTGTATCATAAGATAATGTATTGATGGTGTATCATGAGATAATGTATTGATGGTATATCATAAGATAATGTATTGATGGTATATCATAAGATAATGTATGGATGGTGTATCATAAGATAATGTATTGATGGTGTATCATAAGATAATGTATTGATAGTGTATCATAAGATAATGTATTGATGGTGTATCATAAGATAATGTATTGATAGTGTAACATAAGATAATGTATTGATGGTATATCATAAGATAATGTATGGATGGTATATCATACGATAATGTATGTATGGTATATCATAAGATAATGTATTGATGGTATATCATAAGATAATGTATGGATGGTGTATCATAAGATGATGCATTGATGATGTATCATAAGATAATGTATGGATGGTATATCATAAGATAATGTATGGATGGTATATCATAAGATAATGTATTGATGGTATATCATAAGATAATGTATGGATGGTGTATCATAAGATAATGTATTGATGCTGTATCATAAGATAATGTATTGACAGTGTATCATAAGATAATGTATTGATGGTATATCATAAGATGATGTATTAATGGTGTATCACAAGTTAATGTATTAATGGTGTATCATAAGATGATGTATTGATGGTGTATCATAAGATAATGTATTGATGGTATATCATAAGATAACGTATTGATAGTGTATCATAAGATAATGTATTGATGGTATATCATAAGATGATGTATTGATGGTGTATCAGAGGATAATGTATTGATGGTATATCATAAGATAATGTATTGATAGTGTATCATAAGATAGTGTATTGATGGTGTATCATAAGTTAATGTATTAATGGTGTACCATAAGATAATGTATTGATGGTGTATCATAAGATAAGGTATTGATGGTGTATCATAAGATAATGTATTGATGGTGTATCATAAGATAAGATATTGATGGTTTATCATAAGATAATATATTGATGGTGTATCATAAGATAATGTATTGATGGTGTAGCATAAGATAATGTATTGATGGTGTAGCATAAGATAATGTATTGATGGTGTAGCATAAGATAATGTATTGATGGTGTAGCATACGATAATGTATTGATGATGTATCATTAGATAATGTATTGATGGTGTATCATAAGATAATGTTTTGATGGTGTATCATAAGATAATGTAATGATGGTGTATCATAAGATAATGTATTGATGGTGTAGCATAGGATATTGTATTGATGGTGTAGCATAAGATAATGTATCGATGTATTGATAGTGTATCATAAGATAATGTATCGATGGTGTAGCATAAGATAACGTATTGATGGTGTATCATAAGATAATGTATTGATGTTGTATCAAAAGATAATGTTTTGATGGTGTATCATAAGATAATGTAATGATGGCGTATCATAGGATAATGTATTGATGGTGTAGCATAGGATATTGTATTGATGGTGTAGCATAAGATAATGTATCGATGTAATGATAGTGTATCATGAGATAATGTATTGATGGTGTATCATAAGATAATGTATCGATGTATTGATAGTGTATCATAAGATAATGTATCGATGGTGTAGCATAAGATGATGTATTGATGGTGTAGCATAAGATAATGTATTGATGGTGTAGCATACGATAATGTTTTGATGGTGTATCATACGATAATGTATTGATGGTGTAGCATACGATACTGTTTTGATAACGTATCATACGATAATGTATTGATGGTGTAGCATAAGATAATGTATTGATGGTGTATCATACGATAATGTAATGATGGTGTATCATAAGATAATGTATGGATGGTGTATCATAAGATAATGTATTGATGGTATATCATAAGATAATGTATTGAGGGTATATCATAAGATAATGTATGGATGGTGTATCATACGATAATGTATTGATGGTGTAGCATAAGATAATGTATTGATGGTGTATCATAAGATAATGTAATGATGGTGTATCATAAGATAATGCATTGATGGCGTATCATAATAAGATAATGTATTGATGGTGTATCATAAGATAATGTATTTATGGTGTATCATAAGACAATGTATTGATTGTATATCATAAGATAATGTATTGATGGTGTATCATAAGATAATGTATTGATGGTGTATCATAAGATAATGTATTGATGGTGTATCATAAGATAATGTATTGATGGTGTATCATAAGATAATGTATTGATGGTGTATCATAAGATAATGTATTGATGGTGTATCATAAGATAATGTATTGATGGTGTATCATAAGATAATGTATTGATGGTGTATCATAAGATAATGCATTGATGGTGTATCATAAGATAATGTATCGATGGTGTATCATAAGATAATGTATTGATGGTGTATCATAAGATAATGTATTGATGGTGTAGCATAAGATAATGTATTGATGGTGAAGCATAAGATAATGTATTGATGGTGTAGCATAAGATAATGTATTGATGGTGTAGCATAAGATAATGTATGGATGGTGTATCATAAGATAATGTATTGATAGTGTATCATAAGATGATGTATTGATGGTATATTATAAGATAATGTATTGATGGTATGTCATAAGATAATGTATGGATGGTATATCATAAGATAATGTATTGATGGTATATCATAAGATAATGTATTGATAGTGTATCAAAAGATAATGTATTGATAGTGTATCATTAGATAATGTATTGATGGTATATCATAAGATAAAGTATGGATGGTATATCATAAGATAATGTATGGATGGTGTATCATAAGATAATGTATTGATGGTGTATCATAAGATAATGTATGGATGGTGTATCATAAGATAATGTATTGATAGTGTATCATAAGATAATGTATTGATGGTATATCATAAGATAATGTATTGATGGTATATCATAAGATAATGTATGGATGGTGTATCATAAGATAATGTATTGATGGTGTATCATTAGATAATGTATTGATGGTGTCATTTCATGTTTTCTGACGTACACCAAGTATTATACCTGCAACAGTTAGCATGCATTTTGTCTATTTAATACCCCCAACATCTGCATTGTATAACAAATTTGGTAGCACTATAGAATTAAAAAGTGACATTTTAGTTTTTATATCTAAATATACTCTATCGAATAACCCTAACAAACAATCATATGCTTTCAAAGCTTGTTCAGACAGCGTAATAACAGCATTTTTCATATTTCCAATGAACATGCATGTAAAATTTACACCTTAATAGCAAAAATGGTCAACAACTTCAATAATTTCACCATTAACAAACACTGAAAATGTTTACATTTTTCAAATATATATTTAAGATGATATCATTATATATTTTACATATTAGGTAGCTGTTTATCTGCAATGATAATGAAAAATACCCAAACGAAGCAAGCAAGGAATGTTAATTGCCAATGCATCTGCCCTCGCTGACCATCGGGCATTTCTTATTAATCACTTTAATTTGACTTTTTCTAGAATTATATCCCCTATGAAC